TTTTCTTTTTTTTAATATATTGATTTCAGAGAGGAAGAGAGAGATAGAAACATCAATGATGAGAGAGAATCATTGATAAGCTGCCTCCTGCATGCCCCCTTCTGGAGATGGAGCCCGCAACCGAGGCATGTGCCAAACCTGGAATCAAACCATGACCTCCTGGTTCAGAGGTTGACACTCAACCACTGAGCCACCCTGCCCGGGCTCCTACTCATTTCTTTTGAGTCCTTTTCTGGCTGGATCTTGAGTGAGTGTCTTGTATGTCCGTTTCAGCTCCCCACAGTCCCAGTAGGAGACTGAACATAGTAGAAAATCTCCATCCTTTGGTGATGACTTTGTTGGGAAAAGGAAGACGTTTTGCTTCAGTTGTGAAATGGGAATTACTCTCCTGTGGCGACCAACTGTCCCAGACACAGCAGGGAGGAGGCTGGGCTGCTCTGATGTCCCTTTCGCATGAGGACTAGCAAAATGCAGCCGGTTCATGGTCATGTATGAAGCAGCCGAAATGATGTCACAGATGTCACTCAGCCGTCTCCACAGGCACAGCAAGGGGAGGGCTGAGAAACTGGATCAGCAGATATGAGTCTTCTGCCTCTCTGCCCATCCTGGCCCCCTGTTGGGTGCCCAGGTCCTTCTCTGCCAGGAACTGGACCATCATGGACGCCGGGGATTAGATGGAGAAGACATGAGAAGTCATAGGCAATAGGAGAGTCTTCATTGCAGACCAAGTAGCCATTGCTAACAAGGAGCCATTAGAAAAAACGGTTCTTCAAAGTAGTTTACAAAGCAGTTACAGTAAACATAGGAGCCTACAAACATAGGAGCCAGTATTAGCCCTTGCTATTACAGTCGCAAACACAGGAGCCATACCAAGCAGCCACGCACGCACGCACCTGCTGGTCAACAACACAACACATCTTTTTTTTTCTTTTAATGTATTTTTATTGATTTCAGGGAGGAAGGGAGAGGGAGAGAGAGATAGAAACGTCAATGATGAGAAAGAATCATTGATCGACTGCCTCCTGCACGCCCCCTACTGGGGATGGAGCCTGCAACCCAGGCATGTGCCCTTGACTGGAATCGAACCCAGGACCCTTCAGTCCCTAGGCCGATGCTCTATCCACTGAGCCAAACCAGCCAGGGCAACAACACAGCTTCATACCAACTTAGACAAAAGAGGCTTCATTCCAAACAGTGACGTCAGTACTTGGGGTACAGAAAGGCACGCCTGCGCAGTGCACACAGTAAGATTGCCGTGTCCTTGCTTTTGTGCCTGCATATGGCAGATTGGCCTTGAACGTCCGGCATACTCTGATTATGGTTCCCACACCCCCGTGCCACTCAAATCACCCCAACTTCTTCTTCTGCTCTTTACTCTTTCCTCTATGGAGACATCTCTACTGAACCTCCAGGAAGATGCCTGCAAGTCGCTCCTTGACTGCCGATGTCTATGAGGACTCTGCGCTTGGGTGCATCCACATTCCTCATTCTCCGTTCGCCTTGGCACAGAACCAGGGGGCTGCTGCTCCAGGTTCCAATGGTGGCCCAGTCGCTAACTTCCTGGGAGGCATGACCCTCTCTTGCTCCTCTACGAAAAGAAAGCCTTGAAGTTAATGGACAGCCCTCCAAGGTCCTTCTGGCTCTGGCCTTCTGGCCTTGCACCCTTCCTCTTTCCTGGCCTTTCCTCTCTCTCCCCACCTGGGCCCTGTGGAACGAAGCAGTGAGTGACAGGGGGGCTTGTTCTGAAAAGCTGCTGTGGCTGTGGCATCGCTGCTGCTCAGGGAGCAGCAAAGGGAAGCTGAGCAGAGGGGTGAGTCTTTTTCCTGCACAGGAGGCATGCACATTCCCCATTTCCTGACATGTTTTCCGTCTGACATTTCCAATAACAGTCCCCACGTGGGTGCTTCTTCAAGGCAGGTCTGTTTTGCACCCTTTGGGAGGAGCATCTTCCGTGACAAATGATCTCAGTTCAGGCATATGGCGATGCGCTGATTTCCTGGTTGCCAGGATGTATGAACACACTTATTGTCCCCAAATGTAAAAATAATGAACTTACCACTGTGCCTGGAACGTCGACAATGTGAAACAGATTTGATTTATTGGAGCCTCGGAGACCATCCTTAATGTGTAGCAGAACATTGCCTTTTATTTCCATCCAAAGTGAATTTCAATTGACTTAAC